GACAACGGTAACTGCAGGCTGGGTCCTGAGTGCGGTAACCGAAATTTCGAGGGCCTTAAGCACCGGACTAAGGCCGGGGGCAAGTATAACATTGGAGTCGAAGTCATCAAGACAGCAGATCGCGGATATGGCGTGCGCAGCAATCGTTCCTTCGAGCCCAACCAAATTATTGTGGAGTACACCGGCGAGATCCTCACCCAGCTTGAGTGCGAGAGAAGGATGAGAACAGTATACAAAAACAATGACGTACGTGCCCTTTCTCTTGGTGCTCTACGGGGTAGTGTTTATTGACATCGTCAACCAGTGTTACTATCTCATGTATTTTGATCAAAACATGATCATTGATGCTACCCGCGGATCTATTGCTCGCTTTGTTAACCATGCCTGTGAGCCAAACTGCCGTATGGAGAAATGGACTGTTGCTGGCAAGCCACGCATGGCACTCTTCGCTGGAGATCGAGGAGTCTCGACAGGGGAAGAATTGAGCTACGACTACAACTTTGAGTGAGTATTACACGCGTATCAAACCACTTGACCATGTGCTAATACCATATCAGTCCCTACTCTAACAAGAATGTTCAAGAATGCCGCTGTGGATCAGCGAACTGTCGAGGCTTTCTTGGTCCACGGCTGAAGGAAAAGCAGCAACGTGCCAAAGAACTCGAGAGACGAAAGGCCGAGGGAAGTCCAAAGAACACAGCTGCAAAAAAGGTCATCGGCAAAAAGCGAAAAGTCTCAGAAGAACCTGCAAGCAATGAGTCCCCGCAAGGCAAAAAGCGCAAGATTATCAGATCCAAGACCATCAAGGCCGGCATGAAAAAGGCCGTGGCTACCGTTCGTGGGAAGAAGACGACCAAGAGGACAACGGCAAAGGGCAAAACCACAACTACCGTCAGGTCGAAGACCAATGTCAAGCTACCAACTGTGAAAGCCACAGGCCGGATCAAGGCCACTGTCCGTGCTCCCCGATCTAACAGGGCAGCCAAGGAAACCCCGGCTTCCCCCAAGAAGACAACATCCCGGCTCAAGCGGCCTTCTGCTGAGACCAAGAAGAAAATTCTCGCTACTGCTTCGAAAGGCTCCGGAACTTCTCCCCGCCACCCTGCGAGAAAGGCCGCGGCCAAGGGCCCCGTCAAGGCCAAGCCTGCTCCCAAGGCTGAAAGCACTACCAAAGGGGGCTTTGGCAATGGAGTCAAAAGTGCGGCTCGGCGTGTTATGAAGTCTGTCAAGGGATCAAAGAAATGATTAACCTCTCGTCAAACTACGGTAGTTATCGTTGTGAGCTTTTCTGGACTTCGAAAGAACTGAATTGTCTCAGCATGGCCATCTTTTTTATGGAAATCCCAGGTCTGTCAACCAACAGCTGGGGACTCTATTATTTTTATTTTCTGTTGACCTCGACACTGGTCCTTCTTTCTATTCTTGATAATTTACCCGGTAATCTTTTATTCTTCCTACTTTGGCTAAAATTCGCGTTTGGCAGATCCACCCCCTGCTGTTCTGTCTTCTCTTTTTTATTTCCCTTTGCATTTTACTGTGGCTTCGTGGTTCCTTGGGGGTTTCATTTTGCTTTATGCGTCATGGTTATGAAGTGTCCAGGGTGGTTGCTCGATATCAGCTCTGATATAGCTCTGATATAGCCAGGGTAGATGCCTCTAAATTCAACATGGTTTTCCCTGGAATCCTAGTCTCTTGTAGATCTTTGAAGCCTACGGTAAAGTCTAGATATAGTACTTATACCATTGGATGAGTTACTGGTAATGTTTATATTTCTTCTATCTCCAAGAACTGTAAGACTGCAAGATTTAGTTCTATGTCCAAACAATCACCTATTCTTTGGCCTACTCATCTATCCTGAGCCAATACATTGCTTATAGTGTAGAAGGTTATATCATCAAACCAAATCAAATCTAATTGGCAACTTGAAACTATCTAAGCCAGGGGAATCCATAGAAGAAAAAAAAGCCCACGAGTTAAAAGCCAGCACGTCGTTTCATGCGGCAAAACATATAATCGACTCCTCCAAGCCTCACACAACATTATAAATGTCTACTGACGCTCCAGGAAACCCTGGCTCTCCAGAACGAGAATGATCTCGTGCACAATGCTGCGCACACTCTGCTTGGAGAAGTCGACAACGAGATCAGCCTTCTCAGGAGTCTCGTAAGGGTCATCGACACCAGTGAAGCCCTTGATCTCGCCACGACGGGCAGCAGCATAGATGCCACGCTTGTCAGACTGCTCGCAGTGCTCGAGGGGAGTGGCGACGTGGACCAGGAAGAAGGAACCAGCCTGGGAGACAGCGTCACGGGCGAACTGGCGGGATTCCTCGTAGGGAGCAATGGGGGCGGCGATGACAGCGGCACCGGCGCGGGTAAGCTCGGTGGCCACGAAGGCAATGCGCTGGATGTTGGTGTGGCGGTCCTCGCGGGTAAAGCCAAGCTCGGAAGAGAGCTCGTGGCGGACGGTGTCACCCAGCAACAGGGAGACGGAGCGACCACCTTGCTGGTTCAGAGTAACCTGCAAAGCACGGGCGATGGCATCCTTGCCGGAGTTCATGTAACCGGTGAGGAAGATGGTGAAACCCTGAGTGGCGCGAGGAGGGTTGGACTCGCGCAGAATCTTGACAACCTCCGGGTAAGAGAACCACTCGGGGATGTGGGCGCCGGAGCGCAGACGACGGCGGAGCTCGGTACCGGAGATGTTGAGGGTCTTGACGCCAGCGGGAACCTGGTCAACTGGGCGGTACTCATCAGTGTCGGGGAGGTAGGTAACCATCTGGAATTCGACAACCTCGATGCCGAGCTCGTCCTTGTACTTCTCGACAGCGTGCTGAGCATCGTAGGGGCCGTAGAAGTCCTCGCCCTTGGAGTTGGAACCAGGACCGGCGTGGTCACGACCGACAATGAAGTGGGTCGCACCATGGTTCTTGCGGATGATGGCGTGCCAGATGGCCTCACGGGGACCACCCATACGCATGGCGAGACCGAGGAGACCCAGGACGGCCATGCCGTTGGGGTAGCGGGGAAGGAGAGCCTGGTAGGCGCGGACACGGGTGAAGTGGTCGATATCACCGGGCTTGGTGAGACCGACAACCGGGTGAATCAGGACATTGGCCTGGCGGGAACGGGCCGCGCGGACAGTCAGCTCACGGTGGGCACGGTGCATGGGGTTACGAGTCTGGAAGGCGACGACACGGGACCAGCCCAGCTTGTCGAAGTGGACACGCAACTCTGCGGGGGTATCTGTAAAAGATTTATTAGCCAGATTCAAGAGCGGGACGGGGGATGAACATACAGCGGAGGGCAACATAGTCGTAGTGGTTGAGCTTGTTGACAGCCTCTATCTTTCCACCAATATAGAACTCCTTGACGGAGTTGTTCAAGTACACGATAGCCGGGTGCTCTGGGTCGCCACCGAAGACGAGCTTGGCCTCTTTAGTCCTAAATTAGGGGAGAACCACGTCAGCGAGCCCCACCATAGCACGAACCATATCGACTCATTAGGTAAGGATTCGACGTTTGTGACATAAAACGCCCATAATAGAGATAAAACAAGGTATCTGAGGGTATGAAAATAACGATCGACAATGCGACCGGTTCCAAATGTCAAATTGAGAGAAAAGAGGGCAAACTCACTTGTCGGGGCGGTAAATGTCGTCGATAGTAAGAATAGCCAAGTTACGGTCGTCACGGAAGTCACGCAGGGTGATGCGAGAGCCGGCTTGGAGCTTCTTCTCGTCGATAACCTCTTGGCTAGCGTCGAGAGTAATAGGCATGGAGAACACATTGCCATCGGCAAGGCGGTTGTCCTCACAGACACTATGCACATTGTCAGCTGCCGCTGTTCTAGGACTTTTTGCCCAGAATAAGGAGCTTCTCATTCCAATGGGATCATCCGTGTAACACATACCGATCGTAGTCTGCCTGGTTCATGAAACCTGCATGCAGGTTAGCCATTGCCCCCCCATGTCCATGTCCCTCCCCAAGGAAAGGGACATTTCTATCTCAAAAGATCCAATTGCACTTACCCTCCAGAGGAGAGAAACCTCCGTTCATAATCAGCTCGAGATCGCACAGCTGGCGCTCAGAAAGCGTCACGGCGGGGAGAGTCTCGGCCTCAGCGGCGAGCTCGGCCTGGCGGGGAGCATCGCGGGCGAGAAGGTCCTTGAGGACACCACCGTGAGGGGCGTTGGCCATAATGAATATAAAAAAGGACTTGCGAAAAAAGATAGAATAGAAAAAGAGGAATGTACAAGAAAAGAAAAAAGAGGGAAAGCTTTGCTTATCAAGAAATTTCCTAGGAGGGGTGTGGATTGCACCATCCACATCCAACAGAAGTCGTCAACGTGTGGAGACGGTGGAAGTCTTGGCTTATTTCCTCGGGGTAACAGGTTTGACCACGTTGTTATACCTTAGGGCTATTGCAACATATTGTCTATTTAGAAGTTTCAAAAATGGGGTCATTCAAATCAATACTATATAGGTCTTTACAATTTTAATTGTACGAGTGATAGCTCTAATATATCCGAAGCTCTTACCGAATCTTGGCCTACAACTTGTATACAACATATGGTACGGAATACTGAAGATCCGGATTTTCAGGGGCAAATAGACGATCCCTTTGATTGAGATCATCATACGTGAGAGATTATGATTGTAAAGAAAGGTTAAGAAGTATATATAGTCCAAAGTAGTACGTTGTACTTGACAAGTCGATATAGTCTCCTGCCACATTCCGTATACTCCGTCACTTAGCCCGACGCCACACTTGACAGAGGCCGAGGTCATGTGACGTAGCACGTCACCTCCGCGCGGAATCACGACATTACATGTCCCAATTAGGAAAAGATCAGCTGGATCCAAAACCCTAAATCCGGCCAGATTTCAACGGCCATTGCCGTACAACATTGAATACATTAGAACAGTAATAACTCAACATATATAATTAAATTGACTCCAAACCAATATAGTCCTATATACACCTTTCAATACATATTTTCACTCACCATTCACCGTGCGATTGGGAAGCGTGATGGTCAATTTCTCAAAATCCACAGCGAACCCACCCACCCTTATGGCCGGGTGAGTGGTGTTCGCATACGAATGGACCAGGTATTCTTGGATACCCTGTTCGGAGGATAGAGCCGTGTCAAGTGAGCCTGTCTTCTGCAGAATATACAACACCGCAACCCGAGAAAACCCAACAACATCCTCGGGGACGTTGGTCCTAGTGGACGTGGCCGCCTTTGTCCCGGAAACGGATTGAGAACTGATACTAGTAGCCGAGGTGGTCGTCGCGGACTCGGTTTGAGTGGGTGGCGACGTGATCGTAGCTGACTTGCTTGAGTCGTCGTATAGGATACCGTTCATAGTGGCCTCGGAACGGACAGCTAGGACTGGTGTTGGGCCGGTTGTTGAGACGGATGGAGAATCACCGTGCTTTCCATTCTCTTCAGATGGCATCGAGTCGGCCATCAACTCTACAGATCGGCGGGTCTTGCTCGTGTCACTCGTAACATCGTCGAAAGCCACGAGCGCGTTTTCGGTCTTGCAGGAGACATCGTTCATGCTGAAGAGAGCCATGATTGTGACTTGGTCGAGGGTGACGTCGAATTTCGTCTTGGATTCCTCGAACAGAGGAAGGAGTGCACTGCCCATGGTCGCATTCCATCCGTTACTTATTAGGCCGGTGGTGCAGCTACTATCGCCCGCACTATTGCATTGTGAGCCGGTATAACCATTCGAACAGACGCATGAGCATTCATCGCCGGCCGAGACGCTCATACCTCCATTCTCACAAGGGTTCTTTTCAGCACAGGACGAGTTCGCTTTCTCGCGGGGCACGGCGATAAGGAACACGGGGAGAAGAATCGCGAGAATAACAATAATGAAGATTGCAATACAGATGAGCACGAAGATCTTCCGAGGCATTCCGCAGCACATCTTCCTGCGTCCGGAAGTATTTGGGTCATCATCACTGGAGTTAAGCTGCTCAACATTACGCAAGTTAGAGCGTCCAAAGAAAATGGGCCATGATGTTCGTGATGCACGACCTTCGGGTGTGGCCAAACCCGGCGGGGGAAACGAGGCGAGCATGTCAGATATAGAGCCGGAGTTGCGTGGTCGATGTCCTAAGCACACACCAGTTAGTACTACTTCCGGATTCTACATGGTGATCCGGATCCGAGAGACTCACCCATCGCATTCCTGAACCCCACCTCATCACCACCAGCCAGATTAGCTCGACTAGCGGTTCTCCCATGATCTAGGTTCGTTGCCAGCTTTGTCGCCCTCCGAATCAAATCAGATAGACTGGAAAGGCTCCCACGAGCCTCTGCATCCCGCAATGCATGCATATTCAGAGCAGGAGGCTTGCGACCGCCAGGCCTTTTGTCACTCATTGTTGGTGCAGCGTGAGGCAGCTGTCCGAAGGCCTCGAGCTCCTTTTCGAGTCGTGTATCGGAAGGCGAGTCATACTGCGTGGGAAAGGGTGGCTTTTCCGGGTCCACCACATTCAGCGATTCACTCGATGCTGTAGTAGACGACTTTCTTAATTGGCTTGGTATATGGGGCACCTGGCTTGCAGCAGCTCCTATCCCGATAGGTCGTACTTCTGTGCCCTTGGAGGGTTCCTCCTGGGCAAATGCTGGCATATCTATAACGGAACCGGGGTTAGACTTGAGGATGGTACGCATCGTCGGCTTTCCTCGCTTTCCAATACTAGCGCTTCGGACGAGCCTCGTATCGTCCTCTTGGAGGCCCGGTGAGCGCTGGCCATCATCTGAATCCATGTCTAGATATGCTCCCAGAATCTCCGATTCGGCGGGGCCGGATCCCCAACTTGAGGGGACGGCTCGGCTCGATGCGACGGAGCATTTTGTGAAGCGAGAGTTGGCAAATTCTTCTGGAATGGGCGAGACAGATGATCGACGAGCCTGGGGAGGCTTTCGCGCATTAAGTGGTGCGACAAGACCTGCCGTCCGGTGCCCGGGGTCATCCTGAGGATGACCGGATTCGGGCAGCATAAACGTAGGTGGAAATTGGGGCACATCGGGAATAGAGGGCGTCGACGAAGTCACAGATTGTCTGAACAACTCTTCTGTTGCAATCGATATTCGAGGAGTGGTCATATCGATTGTGCTGGTGGGACTCGCAGGGGCATCGTTTATCGGCGGGCGTGAATGCGCTAGCGGAGGCGGCTGAAGTTGCGAGAAGGACCGGTGAGGTCTTGGGTTCGGATACGAGCTCATTTCTGAAACTCGGCTATCCCGTTCTGAGTAGATGGATGGCGAAGGGAGTTCGCTCGGATGAGGTGGTCTCTGAGGTGGAGGACCCCGCGGAACCAGATATCTAGGATGTTGATTGATCGGTTGTGGTGGGAGACCCGAATCAGGAAGAGGCCATTGTGTTTGATGGGAAATATCCCTGGGGACGGGCGGATGTCTCATCTGCTGGGGTGGGCAGGCTCGTTCTGGACGCACGCCGGCATCCAGCATTTGTCTGGCCCGCTTGACGGATCCTTTCCTGTCAGGCTGCCCAGAGGGCCCGGGGTTTGGTACTTCTGTACTCATTGGTCGCCTGGTGGAAAGAAGTATGGCTAAATGGAACGCCGGAGTCGATGCTCTTATGTAGTTTCGAGAAGTTAAGGCTCGCAGGGTATCAAGTGCGGCGTGGTACTGCGGTCCAAAGGAGAGATTTGTCTCTCGAATATTGACGAATGGAAATGAAGGGTTGTTTGATACCTTGGTCAAGTTGAGAAAGAATGAAAAGATGAAAGGAATTGAACCAGAGAAACGGGGTCCGGCCACTGAGCAAGTGTCTACAGGATCGTAGGAAGTGGATAAAGCAACGAAAACGATCTAGAAAGGCAAGATCCACAGGATCAAGATCGCAAAAGAATGGAAGGGCATTCAATGCCACTGTGTATGATAGTTAGGGCCAGCTCTATCCAAGTGATCATGGAATATAACCTACCAAAAGCGGATTGGGAAAAACGACAGGAATGAACCGCTGGTATCAAACTGGCGTTCAAGGCTAGATAGGTTAACCCCAATCTTTGACAGGCCTGGATAGACTTACGAATTCAAAAGGGGAGAGCCTCAAGCTCAGAAGTTGGGAAAAAGGAGAGAAAAAGAGGCATCGAACCTGACAAGGCTAAGTTCCTGACATAGTAGTCCACATCTCAAACGGGAAGTATATTAATGCTAAACATCAAGGGCTTTTAATGTCTTGGAATTGACTCCTGTAATCTAAGTACTTCTCTACATATGTACTTTATATCCGACTCTCCCATGATTCCGTACTCCGTACATACTTTAAACCCCCTTCTGATGAGTATCGGATCTACACTTACACTGACATGTTGCTTTTCAATTACCTTCGTATAAAGGAAAAAAAGGGAATGAAAGGTCACTCAACATGAGACCGGCTAAATTTACTAAATTTACTTGACAAATCACATTTCAACGATATCAGTGGGGTGGTTGGCCCCGGACGCTAACGTCTCACATTAACGCCCTTTTTAGTAATTTGAATGAGATGGTTCAGTTATTGCACATGTTAGAGAATAAATTCATACCCATATTGTATGTACTCCGTGAAAAATGTGCAGAAAAGACTTTGAATGCAACTCGGCTATCGTACTTATGTACTCCGTACGGAGTACCCCCTTCAGAGTAAAGAGGCATTGCCTGAAACATCTGTAAACCTTCTTGGTACTAGCCATATTGTGACCCCTTTAAATCTTCATATGTATTGGACTCCGTATACTACAATTATAGCTATTATCTAAGCTGGCCTGGGCGCTTCTGCTCTATGAACAGTTCGTGGATCATGTGGATATATTGCTCCGTATGTTGTTTGTAAATCCATTTTTAGATGCGAGGCATTTGCGACTCCCAATTCTAAACACATCTGGTCATGCAAGGTGATCTCCTTGGGATCTCAGGAGTAGAATGCTGTGTGCGACTTGTCAACATCAACTTGGCCTTATGGCTGATCAAGTGCAATTGTTGGAAAAGGTCACGGATGACTACAAAGTAGTTACGTCGGAGGATTCAATTTCCAGCCGAGCCCGCAATCGGTCTATCTGCTGCTCCAGGGCTCGCATTTCAACTGTTGTACTAGCCAAACCCGGCACCTGATTGTCTATCGCATTTGCGAAAGAGTCTTGCGCCCTGCGCAGCGACTGGGGAACCAGTATTCCATACCAATGAATTGGATCGGCAGAACGAAACTTCTTAGAGACTGACTTTGGTTTTTCGACAGGGATGGGTTGTGTTTCTGTAGTGTCAGAGGGCTTCGAGCTAGCCGTCTCGGCCAGGCTAGTTTCCTCGGAGGCCTCAAGATGTCCACCTAGGACCGGGGAAGAGGCTTTGGTTTCGTCGTTCCCACCGGCCTCTTCTGTTGGATGACTGGGTGTGGTCTTGACGGAGAATGTGTATTCAGAACCAGGTAGCGCAGTAGTGCCATGTTTCTCTTGCGGATCGTCCGTGGATTTCTCCGTGCTTTGTTCGGATTGGATTGATCTGTCAAGTTCGGCGAGTTAACAAGGGCCAGTAATCAATGGCAGCAGGTGAAGTTACATCTTTCTCGTTGCTTTCATGCGCTCGTCGTAATAATCAGCACCATAACGACGCCCAGGAGGACTGGAGAAATTGGCCTGGGCGAGAGCAAAGAAACCCTACTTGGTCTCAGCGCATTTCGGGAACCATGAGTAACAAAGTCATACCGACGACAGTTGTTCTGCCAGGCTTGAATGTAGTTTTTGCTGGCGATCAAGCAAGTGCAAGTACTTCTCGAGAAGTGTATCCAAAGACTGCACCGAATCCTCTAAAGGCTCTGCCTTCACCGTCACTTCGGGGGCCTCCGAGCCCGGTCGCGAGGCTGGTGGCGTGGGTATTTGAGTCATGGAGAAAAAGAACCAAATGTCAATGGAGCAGATATAGAATACAAATATTGCCAAGTCAAGCCGAGGACTTGGATGAAATCCGATGAATCCCCAAGCTTGAGATAGTATCCAGAAGAAACGTGGAGCAAAGGAGCTCGGCCCCGGTAACTCCGTCATTCGTCTCCGAACGCAAAAGAATTTCCCACTTCTGCGCTTCTTCTCCTCTCTTGCATACTTCAGCTCACTGTGTCTCTTCCGTCGTAAGAGACTGTGATACGGAAGATCAATATCATCGATTCCTGTGTGGTTTTATTACCCCAGATCTCTGATTCTTGCAAGATTGAACCGCCACCTCCGATTGCGTTTTTGATACGAGTCATTGCGCCCAACGTACGTGGACTACATTCTAGTACCTCGACCATTGCGATACGGACGATCGCTCTAACCCGGCAGTTCTTAGGACAAGTTCTTGCCGCAGCAGCGCCGTGTCGACCGCGCGACCAAGGCTTCAGTAATAACCTGGGGTTGACCAAGCAGCCGTGTCGCAACATTCGCCTTCGGCCTTTTGACTCTTATTACCGTCTGAATCCTCTCAATACTCCTATCGTAACTGAGCCATCATGTCTGCCGCGTCCTTGAATCGTGAGACTGCCTTCCAGGCACGATCTTTGGTATGTCATCTCGGCTTTATATGCGCTTCAACCTCGCGCGTTTATCCTTAATACATTAGACTAACGGTCGTGTTACTTCTTTTATTAGTTCCGCTCGCTTCTCCGCTATTCCGGACAGTTTTCCAACTACAACTTCCGTGAATACGCTCGTCGGAAGACAAGGGACTCGTTCCGCGAGCACCAAAACACCACGGAGGAACGCCGGGTACAGGAACTGATCCAGGAGGGACTTCAGAGCTTGCGCTTGCTGAAGGTCAGTGACATTACATGGCTTGTTTGGTGAAGCTCGATCGGCAGATACAGGGGATCCATCTTCAACCTCGCGTATTGAAAGTCGACGGGTCTCGCCTTGCAACATTGCCCCACGAATCATTGAGTCAAAACCAGTGGAATAATTATACTGATATAACCACAGAGACAAACCATCATCAGCCAGTTCTACCAATTGGATAAGTTGGTGGTGGAAGGCCAGAAGACAGTAAGTCCTACCTTGATTTAGGGCCTTGCTCCAGCATTCAAACTCACGTTATCTTTGAAGGGAAAGGAAACGGGGAACCATGGAGGCATTGTTCGCCAGAAGGACACTGGGTGAGTGGTTCAATTGAAGGTCTATGCCCACCTGTTTTCCATTGTACTAACCTGTAGCAGTTGGGACTGATTCTTGAGGGTTGGGAACTTGTAACTATTCCATTTTGTTTGTTTCGATAACTTGCCAAAGGTGGACTAATTAAACATCTGCTCATTTTCTGTATTTATGCACCCAGCGATGCAGCTGCAGCTGTAGCTATTTTTTATCAAGCGCCAGAAACACCCTATTCCACTCCTGAATTACAATATACGTTGCAATAAATTGAACTGCTTTGCTTTCTATCCATTGAGGGATATTATCATGATATAGATGGCTGCTATAGCAGGACATTGCATGGGTGTCCAATAAGTATCACGTGATATCCCTTTACGGTCTTGAACATCGCAACGCAACGCGACGGAGTTGCGCTGCTCCGCTACCATCGCTCACTCCACCACATCCCGCCAAAGAGTCCTTCCCGGGAGGTCCTAACAAGGATATTACAAGCTTCCTGATTGTGCGCAGTTCTCTTTGAATTAGTACAGGGGCATCTGTCATGCCTTCCACGGTACGTTTCAACTTGACCCCGTCGTGATCTATCTTATCTGGCCCCGCCCTGGTCGCCCTAGACACATGGTCATTCCAAATATACTAGATCCTGAAATGCTGGAATTAGCTGGCTAATATCCACGACAGTTCAGAGCCTCGCGCTCAGGGCGACACCTCGACGGCGCCCCAAACCGCACCCGAACCGGCCAAATCGATCACGATGTCTTTGAGGGATTGCCCGTCCGTCGCTGGTCCCGACAGCAGCACACCTTTTCTCAAGCGCCCAAACCTGATGACTCGGAGTTCGGCGTTCAAGGCCCAGGCGGAGGACCAACGCTACCAGAGCTCCCCATGCCAAGAGACAGCCAGCTCTTGCCGCCAATCAGTCGCGCACTCCTTCGAGCAGCCCGTGCCGGATGTATCAATATCCGCCAAGGCAGTCGAGCAGCCGATGACGAGGAGAAGAGCGTGGCAGATGCGGAAGACCCGGCTTCGGCATCTCATATGGCCGATCGGAGCTTCACGACTCGCAAATGGATGACGCTTCCCAAGCACCTCGAGCCTGCGGAGGTGGAGTTCCTGGCAAAGAGGCGACCTGGTCTTTCATCTCTTTATGGTGTCACTGCTGGTATAGATGGAAATTCCGCTTCTGGGCCCATGAGGAGGACGAAATTCAAGAAAGTTGATCCTGAAACAGGCAACATCTCTATCTACGAGGCGTGGGTGCCCGAGGGCCATCGTATTGAGGGAGAGATCACTGGCGACTTACAGACGATTGCCGAACAGAGCCAAGTACCTGTGAAGCCTGAGGCGCCTGCACCTGGAACAGTCGTCGAGGGGGTCGGCGTCGTCAATGCTGAGGGGGTTGTTGTTGCGGAGGCTGGATCAGCAGCTGTAATGACACCTCCAAAGCGACGTCCACCTCCACCTAAACGAAAGGGCAGAGGCATTGGAAAGGGCCGGAAGAAGAAGGTCATGTTTGCGCCTGGCGAAGGAGCTGATGCCTCGACAGTACATGGAGTTTGTCCTGCTACTGGCAGTGGGGAGGGTGGCGTCAAGAGAGAAGGCCAGCAGGAGTCCATTGACCAGGCTGGTCAAGACGAAGACGATGAAGACGGCGACGAGGGCGATGAGAGCGACGAGGGTGAAGATTCCATGATGGATGCGAAGACCCCTGATACCCCGCAGCCTCTGTCTGGCACAGAGTTTGTGGATCAGACTTCATTCGAAACTCCTGCCGAGCAGTCAGTTGATGTCCACATGTCAGATGCAGTTCCTGAAAACCAGCCTCCTGCTCCCGAGATTTCCACATTAGCCGAAAAGGAGAAGCAAAACCAGCCTGAAAAGACCTCAGAGGTGGATTTCGGCGCTCTGGCTTCCAATGTCCCTTCAGAGAAGGCCGAGCTCGCTGACTCAAGTGGCAAGCCTGTCGTTTCGGAGTATGGGAAGGCTCCCACTTCTCCCGCCAGAATTGCCGCAACGATAAGCGAACCCACCGAGCCTCCAGCTGCAGTTGGCGAAGCCCAAAACTCAGATTCCAAAGTGCAAGGGGAAGGGGAAGCCGCAGAGCCGACGGATGACCTTACACCAAAGGAAGAAGCTGCTCTCCCAAGCTACCAGGAAAGCGCGACTGCCCTTCCGCCTGTCAGCCACGAAACATCCTCCGAACCCCAAGTAGCACGACCTTCGACCCAATTGCAGACACCTGAGCATCCAGAGCTCGAGCAGACTGCCGCATCAACCGATGCATTGGCGGAGACTCGGGATCCTCAGCAGATTCCAAACGAATCCATTTCCCATCCCGACAATCCAGAACAGCCCTCGACAGCTATCGAGCGCGAACAACCAAACCTCTCTGATGCTTCTGGGCCTAATCTACACTCAAACGAAGCAAAAGATATCGAGATAGGAGATGCCCCGGCACCGGAACAAAGCCAAGGGCTAGATTCCCAGTCTCCCGCGAACCCAGACTTGTCTCAAGCACCGCCGATCGCAGAGGATACACAGCCCAAGCCCACTTCAGCGGAGTCCACTACAGCTACTGCTACGGACGAAAGGACAGAAGCAGCAACCCAAAGTGTCGCCGCCGAACCGGAGCCGCAAGAATCTAGCGGAGCTAAGGAAGCCAATAACGAACTTGAGAAGCTCCCAGATCCGATCCCACAGGCTGGTCCATCTGAGTCTACATGAACCACATGTGAGGTTGCATTTTTTTGGCCCAAGTGATGTACAATGAATGGCATTGGTTTTTATTGCCCTTTTCGTAGGAGTTTGTTCTTTTATATTTGTGAATAGGCGTATGGCTTTTTAGGACCATGGATTATCGTGCATAATGTTGTAGGATTCACATAGTTATATTCTTCAATTGGAACTTTTTCTTCGAATCCACTCGGTTGACTCGTGCTTCCCTTTATACCTTGGTACGACAGGCGATTATCTTTAGGGATGCTAGGTACTAACCTACGAGGTACAACATACGTATGGAGATGAGAGAAGAGGGTACTAGTAGCAAGTAATTATTGTCTCCATATGACGAATGTGGTCAATCAGCAAAGGGGACTTGACAAGTTCAAAGCAAGAGTCAACTCTGTACAAATTTTTCTTCCGAGAGAAAAAGAAAGAAGTCACCAAGCAAGTTTCTGGATATCCTTCGAGATCTGCCATCCATGCGCCACTGCAACTCTTCTTGTAGGCTTCCACCGCCTCGCCTACCGAATAGTCCATATTTGCGCGATCTCGATTCAGACGCGCGGGTCTGGGGTCTTTGTCGGTCATAGCCATGCGAACCTGCAACAACACACTTTCAATCGAAGCCGTCGGTAGCCAGCCCGAGTGTGTAAGCAGTTCCATGCACATAGAGCCACCTGTGGTAACATGTCCGCCGCCTCCAGCATTGAACTCGACAAAACGAGGACGGATGACCCGTACAAGAGGTGGATCCATGGGAAATTGTGGGGGAAAGCGGAGCTCCAAGACGATTCTCTTTTGCTTGATCGCTCTGAGGTCCTTTGCTAGTGGGAGGGAGGGATCAAACGTATGTAGCTCCACAATCCATTGGTAGACTGTTGTAATCAAGCTGGGGTCGACGTACCATCCAAGCTCGTGGAGTGGCACTCGCTCCTGGATTTTGATGGTAGCTTGCAGATGTTGCTGCAGGATTTGTGTGGCTGAGCTCGTCGCAAAATGGGGCGGAGAAAGTGTAGGCAAAGAACTGTCCTGTAGGGTTCCGGGTCGAAAGTCAGTCTTGAGGTCATTTTCTGGGGCGGTTGTTGGAACGGCTCCTTCTTGCACGCTGGGACCTGGGGAAGTTTCAAACGTTTCATCGTCGGATAAAAGGATGCTGAGATCCTCCACGGTTGTTTCAATGCTAATATTGTCATCGTCGTCATCGTCGCCATGCTGTTCAGTATTTTCAACTGAATATCTGCGTCTCTTGGGTGACGGCGCAAGGTCTCCAACCCCTGTTTCTCTAGCAAGCAATTTCCCCCGTGAGCCGGTAAATATGAGATGGGAATTTTGATCTACTTTCCGCTTGGGCCCAAAGCCAGATAGCGCTGATCTTGTTTGTACATACGGCTTTCATCATGTTCGTAAGATGATGACTGGGATTTCGCACTCTTTGACATACTCCCGTACGTAGCACGTGCGTTGAAGTCGCAGAGCTGAGGAAAAGATACCTTGGTTGGATCCAATCCAAGTGTTGCACGACATAGTGTGGGCTGTGGCTCACAAGCTTCTTGGGAGCATTGACGACCTCATTCAGAGACATCACCGTCAAGAGCTTCAGTCGACTCTTAGACACCATGGGAAGGGAGTGTGCTGTACCAGCGTATCCCATTGTACCAGTGTATCCCAACGAGGTATTGAAGTGGTTCGACATGTAAACGCCATCACCACAGGCGCGGCCATGGGAAATTTTCTTGAAATGAATCCCCTCACGTAGAATACTGTGCCAATTATTCACAGAGCTGCCATGCCAAGCGAATATCGTAGGATGTTTGGGATTCTGGGCCAAGTAATTGGAGTTGACCGCGTTGATAAAGCGCTGCTCTTTGTCGGCAGCACCTTGAACAAGTCTGAATTGGATGTAATCGCTCATTCCAACTACCTTATGCTGCTTATCGTCATCTTGCTTGATGAAAGATCGATTTGAGGAAACAACCCAGCGTAAAAGGTCCAATCCGGCCGGAGATATGACAGCCCTCCATGATGAAAGAAGGTTGCCCATTTCATAGCTTTCGATGAAGGCCTTCATCTCACCGATACCAGGAAGTATGCCCAATAGACAAGAAATCATCCGCTGTTTTTATGCGGGTGCCAAATCGTCTAGATTGGTGTCGTAGACAACGAATCTCACGTGCCGGGCCTCCACACCTAGTTGTTCTCGCTGCAATTGATGGCCTTTGCTAATTGGAGGTGAGATGAGAATATGGTTCGAGGTCTCACCGATGTGTTCAACGTGACAGTGCCATTCTTTTGTATCTTTAGCCGTAACAATGATGACAATCCAATCACCGACTTTGACTGGAGTCGCCTGGTTTAATCAAATCTCAAGATTGGTTACATTAAATTCCCCAGTATAATATGTAATAGAATCTGGATTTTCCTAAGGCAGCAACTACTCGGGACGCGCAGCCGAAGACCAGCCGGGAAGTCGTCAAGCAGCCCCGCTGAAGCCCGCGCGTATGCCAGGCTGGTCAGGAAGTCAACGACAAAGGGTTAGGACCGGATCTCATATTCAAGGCTTGGGCCCAAGCCCAGCGCCATGTATTGATACAGGCACAACGCGTTGGAGCAGACATGGCTTCAGCGACTCGAAATTATCCAATCTTACAGTGACAAACAAGGCAGAATTCTGTGCACTTGACAAAATGCCGCAGGGTAAACTGCATAGCAAGAAGAGGAAAAGATATAGTGGGGATATTGCGATTTAGTTCAGCCACATGGTCAGCCACAAGGATTGCTGGCGTCGAAGTGGCCCAGTAGTCCGGCTGATAGTGCTCCTCAGAAGAGATCTCAGAGCTGCCGTAAACCCTGGCTTGGTTGGTCTGGAAGAAGAGTTCAGCCCCTGTCCATGAAAACCATGAAAATCTATGTTTTAGTCGAAGAACGATGATCCCAAGCAGTCGCTCTCTGAGAAGTAGATTGAGCGACCTTCCAATGAATAACGGCCTGAGAACAGGACCACACATCGTTTTGTCCGAAGTTGTACTCTCGTCTTTTATCTATTGATCTTGCGGCCCGTGTATGGCTTCCATAGCTTGCTCTAATAATGGCTTCTATGAATTACAGAGGCCAACATACGTCTGAACCGGTGTATTCTTTGGATCACCTGCTTTATCGATACTTGTTTGGAGATCAAGGTAAGTCGGTCGATAACGGATTAGCAAAACCAAATACTCCGAGCGCTCAATGCCCCAAGCATCTATAGCTTCCTCGGAAATTGCAAGCTTGGAAATGCGGCAAGAAACTGTCACAATGATAGTACCATGTTTTGACCCTAGGTATCCCACTTTGAATCCAGCGTTCTTGACCGCACGAAGATCACGGCGAATCTTCTCCCGTAATTGAGTCTCACCTTGAGTCGATATAAATACTTTGTTCTCATCGTCAGACTCCCAGTCAGGCTCAGTGTCACTAGCAGCTGACTCCTCGTCGTTGGAGTCACAAGTGCCTAGGTCCTCTACGTGACTAGATGCCGAATCAGGATCAACCATAGAGCTGGTGATAATATTCTCAATAGTGCTTAATAATGTATGGATGGTTAAGCCTATGAAAGAGGGCACTGCGTTTTCCAGGGAGGAGGTAACTCTCTTAGGACAGTTCTCGGATGACGAGAAGGCCAAAAAGCCATGGTCATTTAGATAATCGTGAGAGCCTGTTTATACGTCAGCAAAAGGCTAGAGCCTTGGAAGACACTGTCAGTTAGGAATGGTTTATACCTGACACTACAGCCTGAAGATCAAGGGTGAGGCTTGCCCCGGGTGCTACGAATGCGAAGGAAATTGATCCATCGTACTCCCCTGTTCTGATATCGGAGATAAAGTGGAATCGGCCAGGAACTGCCACATCTGCGAGATCTCGCAGGAATTCTTTACGTGCATTATGATGCTTCACTGCGTTGAAAGCTTGAAAAGAAGGTAGAAGAGATGAAATAATGAAACACGAATGTTAGTGTTAAAGAATCAGCCCTGAAATGTGAAGTGTTTTAAGTGTGTCAACGAAGGAAACAAGGCAAGTAAAGAAAAGAGGTGGGAAAGGAGAAGTATGCTAGGGATATAATAGAAAAGGAAAAAGGAAATAACGCCGAAGCCAAATGGAAAGCCATCTGGGCAAGTACCTGGCAGCCTCAGGCCCCGAATGTGGATTAGCCCCACCATCTTAATTGTTATCTCTTGGCGTCGGCTTTTATATACTTGCCGAGGCTGAGACTGACGTTAATGTTGGAATATATATGCGTCATGGTAAAACCGGCGACGCCAATATCTCGGAATAGCGTGCTTCCAGTCTGCTTGGGTCCGAATCATGTACAGTCCGGCCAGGCAGCTGCACCTTACATGCCGGTTGTGAAGGACAGAGGTAAAAGTTCGCATTCAAGGATAGGATAACATCCTCGTAGCTGAGTTTGGCCGCGTGCAGCTAAATTCAGAGAGGGTGCACATTGGGTTATAATTCTAGTGGATGGAATCGCCTAAGTGCTTCCCCCATACTTTCGGCAAGCTATAGAGAAAGGGCTCAGCAGCACACTATCTTGTGAACTGAAACCCTCAGAAAGCGTAAGCTTAGAGACTGATCCTTGACTCCGGTGCTTGGACAATTTAACAGGCGTCAATAAGTTACCAAGGCAAAGCATGGCTTTCGTCATGAGTAAGTTACTAGTGCAACGCTATGGGCTTGATATTCGGTTTAAAGACCGTGTAAATCTTAGCATTCCAAGCTGATAGGTTCCTGTCAAGGGCCTACGGAATTCCAATACTATTATCAGTTGGGATGTATGCCTATTTAAAACCAAGTTCAGTCGACATATCCGAGGCATGGGTCCAAGTCGAACTAGTTATAGTTTTCCTTGAGTGTAATGCCCAGGCGCTGGAGTATTTCGTTGTAATCCCAAGGGAACTCAGGCCGCTCCACCTGTGTGACTATATAAGAGCAATTAACTGCTAACTAGGCCAAAAGATCACAAGAACGAA